AAAAATATTTAGGTGGCGACTCTGTATCTGGCAAAGCAGTCCATGTTTGGCATTTCTTTCAAAATCTGTTTTTCTCGAAACGATTTGCCGGATTTGGACTCTTTGGTTCAGACTTAGAACCGTGACAAATTTGAGAGTCCTGAGCTGTAGTGAACCCAAAATGAACAGAGCGGGAGCTCGTTCCTCCCGGGGCGTTCGGGGACGTCTACACATGCCATGCGATCAGTGGCATCATCCTACCACCAAGTAATGCGGTTCCCCAATGACACCGGTATAATTGAAGAAGTCTATGGGGATCAGATCATGTCAAAGCAATGCTTCGTCACGGTGAATAGCAGCCGCGCTGCCAAAGGATACGTTTATTCAGTGGAAGAACCTGAAAGTAATGAGCTATTCGCGGATGTCGACAAAGAGGCTGATCAGAAGGCAGTGGAGGACTTGGTAGAGGTAAGAATAGATGAAAAGAACCCGGATAAGTTCTTTTTGCTCGGTTCGTCATTGTCCAGCACTGAGAGGCTAGAGGTCTTAGAATTCTTAACCTCTAACATCGAAGTTTTCGTCTGGACACCCTACGACATGCCAGGCATTGATCCAAACTTCATCAGTCACCAACTTAATGTCCACCCATCCGCCAGACCAATCATCCAACGAACACGCAGATCAGCACTCCACCATGCCGAAATAGTGGCGGAAGAAGTAGGTAACCTGCTGGAGGCAGGAGCAATTAGAGAGGTGCACTACCCGAAATGGATCTCCAACACGGTCGTAGTACCAAAGAAGAATGGCAAATGGCGTGTCTGCGTTGACTACAAAACAGTCAACAAGGCATGCCCAAAAGACAGCTTTCCTCTACCACGGATAGATCAACTGGTGGACCTAACGGCGGGGCACAACCGACTTAGCTTTCTGGATGCATACAGAGGCTACCACCAGATCGGCCATGCAGAACGCAGGACAGGAGGTCAACGTCCTTTAACGACCAAGAGGATATACTGTGTACAGGTCATGCCCTTATGGCCTGAAAAAACGCAAGGGGCAAACATCCAACGTGATGGTCACCTAAATGTTTGAACCATTGTTTAGGCAGAACAATGGGAGGCTTACCATCGACGACATGGTGGTCCAAGAGCAAGGATGAGAAGACCATACTTGAAAGACCTAGCGAGATGTTGAGATCCTAAAGAAGCACAAGTTGCGCCTTAATGCGTCCAAGTGTGCATTCGGAGTAGGATCTGGCAAATTCCTGGGTTCCTTGTGATCAACCGAGGTATAGAAGCAGACCCCTCCCAGATCAAGGCCATCCAAGATTTGGCGAGACCGAACTCAGTGAAAGAAGTGCAGCATCTCACCGGCATGAGCTGGCTCAATCGATTCATAAGCAGGTCGTCAGATAAGACTACGACCATTTTTTCATCCTTAAAAGCCAAGTTTGAGTGGGATGAAGAATGCGACCGGCTCTGAAAGCTTGAAGGAATATATGTCTTCCCCACCACTGCTTGTCACTCAGTACCTGGTGAAGAACTCTTCTTATACCTGGCAGTCTCTCAGCACGCAGTTAGCGTAGTGTTGGTTCGTGCAGAAGGAATACAACACTTGCCCATCTTTTATGTCAGCAAAACATTGTTGGGAGCCTAAACAAGGTACTTGCCCTTGGAAAAATTAGCATTGGCCTTAATGATGGCCTCCAGGAAATTGGCACACTACTTTCATGCCCACACCATAGTCGTCCTCACATCTTTTCCACTAAAAGCTTTGTTTGAAAGGGCGAACTTTTCTGGACGAATCTTGAAATGGGCAGTAGAGCTGGGACAATTCGACATCAAATTCCAACCTAGAACCGCAGTAAAAGCCCAATCTTTGGCAGACTTCGTTGCAGAATTTACTCCAGGAAGTCATCATATCTGCCCAGTCGACCTAACTGACACAACCGAACTAGGAATGGAAGTTGACGCCAGAATAGCACAACCCCTAGCAGAAAGCACTCGGTCAGACTCCAAGGCAGACCAAATTAAAGACAGCAAGGAAGAAACAAACCAAAACTCACCAACAGTACAATCAGATGGCGAGGGGCAGACAGCAAGCATGGACCTTGAAGAAAGCACCATTCTTGACCCCACGACATCATCTGACCCCTCCACTTGCTGGAAGTTGTTCGTTGGAGAGATATGGAAGCTCTTTGTGGATGGAGCATCCAACCGGCATGGTGCAGGACTTGGCATAGTCCTCATCTCCCCAGACGGCCTGGTTATAGAGTAAGCAATCAACCTTGGCTTCCCAGCATCAAACAATGAAGCGGAGTATGAAGAACTTCTCGCAGGACTCAAATCAGCATGCTACATGACGGCCACCGAACTAATGGTATACAGCGACTCACAGCTGGTGGTAAACCAAATTTCTGGCGACTACGAAGCAAAGGATGATAGGATGGCCAAGTACCAAGAATTAGTCAGAACAGAGATCAAGAAATTTGAAGTAGTAAGGATAGAACAAATCGGCAGGGAGGAAAACAGCAGAGCGGACGAACTAGCAGGTTTCGCCTCTATGGCAGATACCTCCATACCTCATCCACTACTGATCGACTACCTACCTAGACCAAGCATAGAAGACCCCGAAGCAGAAGAGGTATGTTGCGTAGAACTAGGCCCCTTTTGGATGGATCCCATCATCCTGTTCTTAAAAGACGGCATCCTACCAGAAGAGAAAAAAGAAGCCAACAGAATAAGAGCGAAGTTGCAGCGATTTTGGCTCTCCCCATCCTTGGCATTATACAAGAAGTCATTCTCAGGACCTTACCTAAAGTGTGTTCACCCCAGCAAAGTGGAAGCATTCTTGTACGAGATACACGAAGGGGTGTGCGGAAGCCATCAAGGAGGAAGATCGCTAGCTTACAGGGCCATTTCACAAGGATACTGGTGGCCATACATGCAGGCAGACTCAGAAAAATATGTGAAGAAGTGCGAGAAATGCCAAAAATTCGCACACCAAATACATCAACCAGCAAGAGAACTCCTACCATTAACTAGCCCATGGCCTTTCGCAATGTGGGGCTTGGACATAGTAGGACCACTTCCACACACCGGACAGGAGTATTTCTGCAGAACAGACTACTTCACATGGGTGAAGCAGAAGCATTGAATCAATCAAAGAAAAGATGTGAAACAAAGCTTTGTTTGCAGAATAATCACTCGGTTTGATACCCAAAATCTTATCTTAGACTGGACTCAGTTCGTCGGCATCTTAGAGGCTTTTATGAGAGTACAAGATGATCACATTTTAACGGATATCCCAGAAATGGCCAAGCGAGCATCCAAATAAGTCGTTTTGGATGTATTGAGAAAAGTTAGAGAAGCAAGGCATGTGGGACGGTTCTCATGTTTATGGGTTCCCCACCAATCGGCCCGAAGAAAAAGAGAGATACTTTCTTGCTCGGAATGGAAAGCAGTATCCATGGAAGTGGTCCCACCATTCCCCGAGCGAATTTGATCAGACTTGAATGGAAAGCCATAGCATTAGAACTTAACCTTGCAGAAGAAGGGAAGAGACTGTTACATGTGCCAACCAAGAGAGTTAATTCCAGAAATAAAACCGTTGCATCAGCATTCAGATCGGAGACTGGGTACTGCGCAAAGCTGATGGGAGACATTATCCAGGAGATGCAGTTAGGGCCAACTGGAAGTGTTAAAAGTGTTGGATAGCAGGCAAGGGGCTACACTAGAGACAAGGACGGAAATTATCCCGTGCCATGAACACGGCCAATCTCAAGTATTTTCTTTTTTAGCTTTTTCTTTCACAGTGTAATTCTTTTTCTTCAATAAACAATCCATTTTTTCGCATGATGTTCTCCGAAGTTAGCTTAGTGATTAGAATATGCAAAATTTTTTCTAAGTAGCTGGAAAATTAATTAGAGGTTGGATGGATACAACACCTTCCTAGACAGGTAGGATCCAGTACGGATTGGTCGGATAACCAAACTCTTCTAAGTTAGCTGGAAACTACTTAGAGGTTGGGGATTAAACACACCGTCTAACAGGATAAGGATACAGGCTGAAGGACGTTTGGTCGATAATCAACATATTCTAAGTTGGCTTGGAAAAACAATTGAGTTGGCTGGATTAAAACCAACCTTGTACTCTTCAGCAAGTAAGAGTTGGCTGAAGAGTGTCGGCTGGATAAACCAACTCTTTGTACTTTCAGCCGAGTAAGGTATGCTGAAGATGGTGAACTGGGATTAAACCAACTCTTATGATCTTCAGCGAAGTACGAGTTATGGCTGAAGGTGGTGCTGGATGTAAAACAACTTTTGTACCTCGCGAGTTAAGGGTATGCTGAAGAGGTGTATGGGATTACAACTCTTTGTACTCTTCAGCGAAAGTCGGTTGTAAGATTGGTTGGTGGATTAAAAACGTCTTTGTACTCTTAGCGAAGTAAGGTATGGCTGAGAATGGTGGCCGACTAAACACTCTTTGTACATTCAGCGAATGAGGTATATGGCTGAAGAGTGGTTGGCTGGAATAAACCAACTCTTTGTACTCTTCAGCCGAAGTAAGGGTATGGCTGAAGAGTAGTTGACTGGATTAAACCAACTCTGAATACTCCTCAGCCGAAGTAATTATGTCGGCTAAGGAGTGGTTGGCTGGTAAGCATAGTTAGTTTAACCAGCTAAAACCGAGATAATAGTTGAAACTAAGAAAGATCCTGGAAAAATCATAACAAGTACAAACGTACACATCAACCGAAGTAAGAGTTAATGAAAATCTTCATTCATCAGAAAGATTACATTTAATGGGCTCCTAGCCCGGTTACAGGTAAAAGCAAAAAAAAAAAAGAAAAAGAAAAAGAAAATCAAGAGAAGTGATCATCAATTTCGGCATCAAACGCAGCATCGGCATCAACATGAAGACCGGTTTCAGGCGGGAGCTCGTTCTCGGTCACAAGGGTGGTTTTGGTCGGAACCACGGTTTCACCTGGTTGTTCAATAGTCAGGTCTTCCACCGTGGGCTCTAGTCGAACTGACGGGTCCACATTGACAACCAGAGTATCCTTAGAAGCAGAGTCTTCATCAGAGTCTGAACCTTCAAGAAATTGTTGCTGGATGGCACCAGCATACTCCACTAGGGAGTTCGGTATGAAATAGGCTGGAGGGTTGAAAACCTCGGTCTGTGGATCGTGACCGAGCTTCTCAACAGCTGCCCTCCAGCCGCACTTGAAGAAGAGCTCCTTGGCGGCTTCGCACTGCTTGACATAAGCATCATCTGCCTTCTTGAAGCCTTTCTTTTCGGCTCCTTTTGCGCTCTCCTTCAGCTGGGTTATCTCGGTAGCTTTCTTCTTTTCAAGCTTCACCAGCTCGCGCAGATATTTATCCTTTAGCACAATGGCGGCCTTTTGCTTTTCTGCTTCGGCCAAATTAACCAGTCCGGCCAGTCGGCTGTTCTCAGATCTTATCTCGGCCATTTGCTTTCTAGCCTCCTCTAGCTCGGCCATCTTTGCTTCGGCTTCTGCCACGGCTTGCCTTGTGGTTTTCCTGAGCTCTAACACTTTCCTATGAGTGATGTTGTTTTTCTGAATGGCCTGACAAAACAAAGACTTCCCTTGAGCCGAAGTGAAAGTTGGAAAAATTAGACAGAAAAACGGACAGAGCTACTTACCAGGATCATGGATTTTGTTGAAGACCGGATGGCCTTCAGTTCGGTGTTTAGTTGCTTTTGGTGGTGCTCCATATCTTTGGGGAGGCACACACTCTTGGCCAGGTTGAAGGCCAACTGGTGATCCTTCTCAGCAACAACCGAGCCAGAATCTTGGATATCTCGGTTGTTGAAGATAAGTTTTGGTGCCCAGCTAGTGGTAGTTCGGTCAAAAGGCTCCGGTTGGGGGCTCGGTGGCGGATTCGGTGGAAGGGCAGTCTCGTCTTCATCAACCAAGCATTGTTCAATTTCGGTAGTCCGGGCGCGCTTGGTTCAGCGGGATGAGGACGGTTGTTGCGTAAGAAGCGCCACCACCGCTTCTTGGGTTTGACTCGCAGGTGGTACTTCGGCCCTGTTGGTCTCGGTCAAGAGGGCCCTTACTCTGTTCTTTTTGGCTATCTCCTCTTCGGCAGTTAATGGAATTAGTCTGATTTGTGGTAAGGTTGGGTCCGACTCTGGGGCATCTTCAAGAAGAAAATCAGTCACTCTGGCTTTTCGGCGACCACTGTATCTGTAGGTCGGCTCGAACTTCAGCAATTTGGCGCAACTACGTTCAAGATACCGGAGTGCGGCGCGCAAGGTGGCTAGGTTTGGGTAGCTGTATAAAGAGTGAAGGTGGGCAGAATCTGCGAAAGAAGACAACTGTTAGTCGAAAGATTAAAAAACCGAAATATAAGAAAGCAAGCAAGAAAATCGAAGTAAATTTACCGGGCTCTCCTTTTTTCCAATTTATACATCGGCCAGGAATCTGGGCTTGATGATCCTCAAAATTCCCAGATACCTAGAAAAAGTCGTCGTCGTTCAAGTCTTTATCCGGTGTATGTTTTATTTTCTTCTCTCGGCGACGACGTATTCTTAAGTAATAGACCCATCCATCTTCTTTTGAACCAATGGAGTATTGATGGAAGATTTCGGCCAGGCCAAGGTTTAGTCCGGCTTGGCGGTTCAGTTCGGCTATTTCCATTATGATGCGGTAGGAGTTGGTGGATAGTTGGGTTGGGCATAGTCTAGTTTGCCTAAGAAACTCACAAATTAAAGGTTGGGCCGGAAATCGTAGTCCGGTTTCTATTATAAAAGGGTCAAGGGGACAAAGCCTTCATTACCCCAGGGAATGACGTCTTTTTCGGCCAAAATCAAGTGGACGTCATCGGGTATATGGTAGTCTTTTCTGAATTCGGCTAGGCCGCCCGGAGTATTTACTAGGTACCTATACTTCCCCATCTATTGTATAAGTTATTAATAAATTAGTTCGGTCGGAAGAATGTGCTCACTAGCTCGGTTGAGCACACGGAAGAGTGCCTGGGCAACCTAAGTCTGCAAAGTAGAAAACAAAGGGGTTAAGCACAGATCATTGGACCGTGCTACAAATTAAAAGCAAGGTAAAAGAGCCCTACTTCGGCTTTGTGGACAGGTTCTATCTTGGTTCAGCAAAATGCTTGGCAGCTCGGATTGAGCATAGGGTTCGCAAGATCGGTTTTTGTATAAGGTTGGCTATCTCGGTTTGAACTATGGGTTTTGTTACTTCGGTTGAGCCTCTAGGGGCAGCTTTCTGAGTTTGGTTTAGAAAGTAAGGAAGCTAGCTTAGCCCCAAAGGCTTAGCTCGGTTGAAGGCCGAGGTTCCTAGTTTACTAAGTTCAAACTTCGTTCGGTGAATTTATCTCGGCTAAAGTGAATCAGGAGTTGGTTATTTTTTGAAACTACTGTTATTTCTACGAGTTCTAGTTCGGTTATTGTCTGAATTGATCTACGTATATAGCATAAACAGTATCCTAGTTCGGTCACATCATGATTTTGGATCAAAGACTAGTTTTCTATAGGATATATCATATACTCATGGGTTCTGCTGATTTTTCCATGAAAGTATAGTGCAAAGCAAGATAGAAAAAGTGTTTGCAAAAAGCACACAAAACAAACTACAATGGATTAAACGAAAGCAGAAAGAAGAAAAACAAAACTGATTTTTTGAAGCTTACCAGAAGAAGAAGATGAAGCTAAAGATGGGAGCAACAGCACCAACGAAGAAACACGAACTCAGGGAACTCAGAGGTTGGAGAAGTAGAGGCACGGGGAGAGAAGAAGGTGAATAGTGTAGGTGAGTGGTTCAAAGACGGAATGTTTGTTTTGTGGAAAGATAAAGAAAGGGCGGGAACTGTTCAAAAATTGCGAAATACGAAGATAGCGTTGACAGCTGCCGTCCGCGAATGAGAACGTGCCACGTGTATACGGAATAGAAAGCGATTCAGTTTTTGGTGATTGAAAAGACATTGTGACCGGATGAGAGCGGCTCGGTTTGAGTTTAGCTCGGCAGGATAAGCTAAATGGTTGTAGCTTGGCTGGAAGGTTTGGGGACTATAGCTCGGCTGATGAACAGATAATCCCTATCATGCTATGCAGATGGAATTAAGGGGCAATTGAGAGGGTAATTTATGTATATAAATGGGGCCGAGCTGTGAGATGGACTTTATGGCCCAAAGTATGAAGGACTGGGTAAAAAGGCCGAAAAGCTACTCTGGCCAAGAGAGATAAAGTTACTCCGGCCCAAGAGAGATAAAGTTACTCCGGACCAAGAATTGTAGAGTTACTCCGGTCCGGAAGCAACTTGGAGTTAGGCCGGTCTCAAAGATAGTTCGGTCATAACGTATTGTGGTTAGAACGGTCAAAACTTTGTAGCTCGGTTTGAACATACCATGGTTTGTACATGAAAGAACCGAGATAGGGAGTAGAAAAGAAAGAACCGAACTAAGGATAGTTCGGCCTACTCTGCGGCTCAGCATAGCCAGTGTTATTTTGGTCATGTGGTAGTTCAGCCATGATAAAAACTATCTCACTTGGTTTAAGCAGTGAGGGGGGTGTTGAAGGATAAGTATTATCTTTCAGGAGTATGAATCCTAGAAGGACTCTACATGGAGGAATAGAAGTCCTACTAGGATTGTGCCATACAAAACCTATAAAAGCTCACAAACCTCACCTTTGGGGAGGTAACACACAACTTTGCTTTCTGAATACACAGAGCTTTGTCTATTTGTCAAGTTTGCTGACTTTGGCATCGGAGGGGTTTCCGGCACACACCCGCCGGCTAGCTCACGTTTGTGTTTTCAGGTGATAAAGCGAAGCTGAAATTTCACCTCTACCATCAATAGGTTTAGCCAGGGCATTTATAACACGACCCAAATAGGCCTCACTCACAGGTATCTGAGCAATTTTTCCTGTTGCCTTTACAGAACTTCCTTCTTGTATCATCAAACCATCACCCATTAATACAACACCAACATTATTTGATTCCAAATTCAGAGCAATGCCTATTGTACCCTCTTCAAATTCTACTAATTCACCTGCCATTACTTCATCAAGACCATGAATACGAGCAATACCATCGCCTACTTGAAGTACGGTACCGGTATTTACAATCGTTACGTCTCTATTATATTGCTCAATACGTTCACGGATAATATTACTAATTTCGTCGGCTCGAATGGTTACCATGAGTATTTTTTAATTATTTTTAAAAAAAAAAAAAAAAAAAAAAGACTTCAAGAATTGGACTGGAGGCAATGGTGTGCTAATGACCTGTGTGGGTAACTTAAAACAGGATGTTGACCATTGAATGCATGTGATTCTATAGGCTTAATGTTTTTCATTAATACATGGGTTAATGAGTATTAGAACATCTCAGATTTTCTTCTAGGTTGGATTCATTGGTACAAATTATAAACCATTAAAATAAAAGGGCGATTTAGGACAAGCCCAGTATCCTTTTAAGATTAATTTTTCAGGAGATAGTTTTGCACGTTCAATATTGTGTCACTTCAAACAGAAAGATACCATATCAAAGGAAATTTCACAAACCTTTGGAGTACCAACAGCTATACTAATATCTATATAGTCTCTATATATGATACCATCCCATCAATTACAACATTGATAATAGGTTGATTTTGGAGACCACTAATAGCAACCTAAAATTTAAAAAAGAATTCATAAATATCTTCAAATTGAATTATAAACACAGAAAACACACATAAATGCTCATGCGCATGTGGCAGATGCATGAGCATACATGTTAGAGCACATCTGTAAACATGTTCAATAATAGCAATATTAAGCCATAGACTTACTACCTATATTCACAAATCCAAACATAAGCCCCAATGCTACACCATGCTTTTCAACGAAGGCATCATTGTAGTTGGATCAGAGTTTCATCAAATTAGTCCTGCAAGAAGCAACAAATCAGCTAGGGAAATAATAACAAAACTTTGTTTACATGAATATCATGTCAACCGTGTTAAGATATGCAAAGCAGTATGGTTGAATACCATAAAGGTTATGTCTTTAAGACAACTTGGTTAACTTAAATTTCAAACTCTTGATTGGATTTGTTGGGTTCTTCACGCATCTCAATCTGGTCCTAGATTGTGAAATGAGCACTAAACATACGTTTTTTTTCAATTTTTGTAGGGTGTAAATAAATAAACTCCAATATTGATCAAATTGAAAAACAAATTTCGAAACGATAAAATTGTTACAATTTCAAAGTACATTTTTTCTGCTTGTAACTAAAACTTAAAAACAACTTGTTTAGAATTTAAAAATTTTCTCCATTAAAATAGGAAAAGAGAAGTGTATAGCAGAAAAAAAAAATAGAAAAATGAAGAGATCGAAAGAGAGAGACATATGTAGAGAGAGGATTATACTCCGACAATTATTTTTGGTTTAGATCTAGTCGGATTTAATGTAGATTTACATTAGATTTGAGTAGATCTACTTATCTTCTTCGCTAAAAACTCATCTCCTTCACCAGAAACTCATCTCCTTTACCGTCGGTGAGAGTGAAGTAAGGAGTCGGTAGTTGATAGTTGCCAGTGAACCTCAATTGATGATGGTCGTCAGTGACTATATATCAGAAAGAGAAAGAGAAGAAGGAATGCATGGTCATCGATCATCAAATATCATAAAGAAAGATAAAGAGAAGAAGGAAGGTGTAGGACTTTTGGATCTACCCAAAAGATTTTAGGATTAAATAGAGTACAACTCTTTCAAAGGGACTTGCGAGTAATTTGCCAAAAAGGAATTTATAACAAAATTGGAGAGGTGTTGTTTGTCAAAGTTCTAGGCGAGGAAAATGAGATGTGGAGTTAATATTTTTAGAAGGAAAATAAACTATCCCGAATTTATCTCGAAAGAGATTGTATGATTGAAATCAAATTTGTGTGAAGTAGAATCCACATGTAAAATAAATTTAAACCACAAGATGATGATTCTGAATAATTTTTAAATAGTTAAATTAAAATTTGTAATATTATTATTTTTAGAATAAGAAAAGAAAAAATCAAGGTTAAAATTTTTAAAAATATATATATTATGTTAACCGTTTTAGTTTGATAACACTGAAGGTTTTTGTTATTTCTAAAATTTCAAGATAGATTTTTACAATTTTATAAAATTTTTATGTGGGTCACTGTAAATTATCCTAAATAAAATCATTTATTTGTTTATTTGTTTAATGTAGTTGCACTCATCTCTCTTCAACTTTCTTATTTCCTTTTCTATTGGTATAAAGCCAGACCCCCTGACCACGCGAAACATGTAAGTAATATTTGTTACTGTTACAAGACCACGCGAAACATGTAAGTAATATTTGTTACTGTTACAATTTGATAGGAGTAAAAAAAGAGTTTTGAAACGGTTTATTAAGTCTGGTATGTATATTATTATAATTTAAGAAGACTCTTTGCCCTCGTTTCGGAATAAGTTATTTTAGTAATATTTTAATTTTTTGATTAAAATATAAAGTAAAATTAATTATTATATTTAGAATGACTTTTTAATTTTTTATAAAAAGATGTACAAAAAATAGAAAGAAAAGTAAATCTTTGATTTTTTTGATATAAATTGTTGGCTTTTTAATTTTTTTAATAACCTTTTAATTTTTAAACTAAAAAGTATTATTGCTAAATGAGGCCTTTATTTTACTTTTATCAGGATTTACAAATAATATTTTTATTTAGCATTTTTTTAATTAAGTGTTGTAAAGAAATATTGCTGATTTGGGTCATGTAAGTTAATGGATTAAGTATTTTTGGGTTATTTGATCCACAGCAGACAAAACATCACATCCAACCCATAATCATTACACTATTCTCTCACAAAAAAAAAACTAAAAAACCAAAAGGCCCTTCCTAAACCAAGCTTTTGAGCCCAGGTTCAAATAGCCAAAAAAGTCAAAAAGTCAAAAAGCCAACCCACTTCCCAAACAGAGGCTTAATTACTTAAAAGTTTTATTTACAAATGTTAGGGTAACTTAGGTCTTACCTAAGATTTTTTCAACCAATAAATTCTATTTAGTAAAACTGATAATATTATCAGTTTTCTCAATTTTTAAAATTAAGAGCATTATCAAATTTACATAGTAATATTCCAGATAATTGGTTCATTAACTGATTAAAAAAACAGAGTATGAGATTAAACGTTTTTGTCCTTCTACTTATTAGTTTGATTCAACTATCCAATAAAACTAAGAGGGTCATCAATTTTTTCATTTTAATTTTTTTTTCAACATCAATTTTCCATCATCATGCTTTTTTATGGACACAAAAATTTCAATTTTGCACAAAAAAATAATTCAATTTTTTAAATTTTTTGATTTTTTTTTTTTGCACGTAATTTTTTTTAAGTTTTTTCAATTTGAAAGTTGATATTTTAAAGTTTTGAAAATCAAAATAAATGTCAAAGCATCATATTTCTTCACCTTTGTTTTAGCCTAGGGCTAAAAAGCCTTGCTTGGGATAGGCTTTTTGATTTTTTTGACTTTTGTGAGAGAAAAAATGAAATAATTATGGGTTAGATGTGACATTTTATCTTATTTGGCTAAAATAGCCTATTTTGTCTTATGTGGCTATTTTAGTCCAAGTAATCTTCCCAAACGAACCCTTTGTAGATAATCATAAATGATAAACAATAATTGTTTGAAGGTGAATAATTATTATTTGAAGGGCAATTCCGACTATTAAAAATTTAATAAGATTTGAAGGGGAGAGGTAAAATAGGGCTGTTAGCTATTTTACCTCGTATGACCCTAATATTCTCGCTCCAATGGGCTGGCTAAATGGCTTCCTATTTTCCCTCGCGGCTTCTCCGCTGGCTTCAATTGGAGAGTGATTGAAGGCTCTCCAAACTCTTCTCTCCCGCGAAATTGATCTGCTCACGTCTCTCCCGCGAAATCAATATGCTTCGTCAGTGCGAAATCGATCTCCAAGCACGTCTCTCCCGCGAAATCGATCTGCTCCTTCAGCGCGAAAACGATCTTCTCCTTCAACGTTGTCTGCAACTCCCTCCATCGACCTCTTCCTCAAGGTATGGATCCTTTTATCTCTCTGTCTTCCCCTTCTATGCAACTCATAAACCCTCTTTCTCTCTCTCTCTCTCTCTCTATATATATATATATATATATATCAAACTTTCCTTGTTCCTCTGTAATCTAGGTCTCTCCCATATTCTTGGTTTTACGAATCTGTATACAATTTATCTGTGTATTGTCTGTCTAATCTGTGAGTTCAAACATACCTTGATACTTCACTGTTCTATTTTTGTGTTTTGTGCTTTTGTGTTGCGAATGATTTTGCAAGATGGACCTTAATTGTACATATTCTAAGTGGAATTCTTGTTGATGCACAGACAAAGAGTCTTCCCGCAACTGCTCAGGTATATATTTAGACATTCATTTTGTTCGTGTGGACTAAAAGCTTCTTACTATTTCATGGCAATTTCTTACTATATCATGTCATCTTAGGTTGCTGCTCAACAAGGTGAATATCTTTGTAGGTGCTTTAACCTTAGGAAGCAGTGTGAAAATAATCCAGAAGGACCTCGCCGCTTTAGAGCTTCTGGACGTCATCAATTTCGCCCCTTTCGGTAATCATACTACTATTTTGAAGGTTCATCTCTCTTTTAAATTTGTTTTTATTATTGCTATCTACATTATCAATCATCATTTTGACTGTTGATAATTTTTTAAGGAAGAAAACTCCCGATTTCCAGGGGAAAAAAATACTGTTGAGTACTTGATATGTATTTGTTAAGAATTGTTATAGATGGGTTTTACTCACATTCTGGCATTTTGTTTGAATATTGGCAGGAATATAAAAGAGAACAGCTGACATAGAATACTACTCTTCTCCTATTAATTTTATGACTTGGCAAATTAAACTAGGCAGAAAATTATTACTTAATCGAATCGATTATTCTTTGATTTTGTAAGATTTTTAAAATTTCCCAAATTTTTTTAATTCGATTATTTTGATCTGTGTAGAATTTACAAATTTCATATCTTTGTGGGGCGATTCAAATGGAGAACTGCGAATTGGGAAAAAAATTTTATTTTACAGTTTAGGGGGGGGGGCCCCCCCCCATGGGCCAACCAAAAACAAAATTCCAAAGAGCTACGTTCTAAAAGTGGGATTGTTTCAATAGAACAGTATGTTGAG